ACAGATGGCTGCCCACCAGTCTCTTCTTGAAAGCTTCCAGTGATGAAACTCCCACAACTGTTCCATTGATTGATTGCTCTCACTGTCAGAAAATTTCTCCTTATTTCCAGGTTGACTTTTTCCTTGTTCATTATTTCCTTGTCTGGCCTTCAGGTGCTTTGGAAAATAGCTTTACCTCCTCCTCTCTGCGGCAGCCCCTCAAATATTGGAACACGGCTATCATGTCTCCCCTGGTCCTTCTCTTCACTAGACTAGACATACCCAGTTCCTGCAACCGTTCATCATATGTTTTAGTCTCCAGTCCCCTCATCATCTTGGTTGCTGTTCTCTGCACTCTTTCTAGAGTCGCAACATCTTTTTATAGTGTGGTGACCAAAACAGGATGCCGTATTCTAGGTGTGGTCTTACTAAGGCTTTATAGAGTGGTATTAGTACCTCACTTGATCTTGATTGTATCCCTCTGTTAATGCAGTTTAGCCAATGCATTGGCTTTTTTGGCTGTTGCTGCACACTATTGGCTCATATTTAATTGGTTGTCCACTAAGACTCCAAGATCCCTCTCACAGTTACTGCTATTAACCCTGGTTTCACTCATTCTATCTTGGACTAGTTGCCATGTCACCTTGTGCAGCACAGAGAATTATGCTGACTGTGGCCTTTGCAGACCAAAATTCTCAAACATACTGAGAAGATTTGCTGGTTTGCACCAAATTGCATCATGTCTGATGGGAGTGCAACTTCCATTCTTCAGGCCAATTGTGATCCAACTAACCTGCTTTCAGGAAGTTGCAGTAATCATCATTTCCATGCCTACCTATGTATAATAACAAGGCAAAACCTCTTATAAGGGTACTGTGGCTTACTCAATGCAATGAATTGCACCTCCTGTTTATTCTGCTCCCACCCCTCTTTTCCGTGGCACCATTAATGGTCCCATTTTTGTTAAAGGTCAGTTCCTTGGGGTATGGATTTGTGGGCTTTGCATTTCCAAATCTCAAATTTAATCTTAGCAGTCCAGGCATGGGAGGCCTGTAAACAGGCTTCAAATACAATCAACCACCTCATAGGTAATACTGAGTTGTAAACACTGGTTGTATGGGCAGCCATACATTTTTGAGGTGGATCAGTCAGAATCATAAACAACTTACAAGAGCATTAAAAAGTGACAATTCTGATTCTATAGGTTGGGTGGCAAGGAATTTGTTGTATCTGTTGTATCTCATCATGTATGAGCTGAACATGCTGAGCTCTTGTGATCCACCAGCAGCCTGCAGAGCTGGCAGCAGAGTCTTGACAGTGAGGAGGCTGGGGAGAAACATGGGCCAGTCCTGGAGTCTGGGGAAGGTCCGGACGAGGGCTCTGCATCGGAGGCAGAGATGGGATCAGGGCCATCTGGGAGTAATGCGTGGACTCTGGAGCCCCCAGAATCGGACAGCAGAGAGGCAGAGGAACAGGAGGAGCCTGTTCCTAGTGCACACATGCGCAGAGCTGCCAGAAGGCAAGAGCAGCTAAAGCAAAAGGGACAACTCAGGAGTAAGGCCAGGAGATGATTGGCCCCTCCCTTAAGGCTTAAAAGAGAAACAAAGGCACTTGGGCCTTTTTGCAGGAAAGCAATGTTGCTAACTCTGTTTCCAGTCAGCATCTCTTGTTTGTTTCTGAACTTCATGGGGCTTTGCCAAGTAAGGCCTTTGGCAGGGGGTCAAAGAAGATAAAGGTTGGTGATTATCCCGAAGGACTTCTTCCAAAGGACTTGTTTTGCAACTAATTGGGACTGAGCTGGGAATGAATGTAATTCTCAGCTGTTGCAATAAAATATGTATGTTTGGGACTAATTGTGTATTGTAATGACTCAGTAAGCCTAGGTCACAACAGCTCTTAATATTTTCATTGGACTGTCCACCTTGAACTTTCTTGTTAAACAGTGATTTTCTTCAGTTTGAACTTGGCTGCTATTGATGTCATGCAGGCATCCATTAATATTTCTTGGCAGCTGTGGAGGATTTATTTTCTCTTGCCTTTTGGGGTGTTTTTTTCAACCTTGGTATTCTATGAATTTTTTTGCAGCTCTCCATCAAAGTGCTGTCCAAGCCCAACCGTGCCCAGACAAGGGCGATCTGATTCTGATATACCTTCCTGATTCAATACTGCTAATTCAACCTCATCAATATGCATAGGAAGTTACTGTAGATTTGTTTGCACTTTTCACTTGTGTACCTGAGCCACATTTGCTCTGTTAATACCCATATTTCCATTTTTAAAAAGCTTTCAAAGTTTTTCAGTTTTTTTTTTTAACCACTCCAAATAAGATGTCAGCAAATGTCACGTATTGTACTCCAAATTGTATACTACCCTAACGTCAAAAGGCACAGGTTCCAATTTACAGCCTTCACGGTCCCTTCTTATATAACTCAGTTTTGAGATCTGTTCATTCTTATCCTTTGCTTTCTGTTTTTTTCATCTAGCTAACCGTTCTTGAAAGAATTGGTTATGTGGGTGTGGCTTGGTGGGTGTGGCAGGGGAAGGATACTGCAAAATCCCCATTCCTTCCCCACGCCTAAGGGAAGGATATTGCAAAATCTCCATTCCCAGCCAGAGGTGGTATTTGCCAGTTCTCCGAACTACTCAAAATCTCCGCTACCGTTTCTCCAGAACCTGTCAGAACCTGCTGGATTTCACCCCTGGATCCCTCCCGTCTCAGTATTATTGACACTTTAAAAAAAAAAAAAACAACAAGTTATCGAGGCAAGAATTCCTTTCCAGAAGCCATAGTACCAAATTACCTTTAACAAATTGTTCCCCTCAAGACTTGGGTTCCACTCGCAGGCCAGATGTAATGCGTAATGTATGCATATATATTGCAGGCCTTGCCTTTCACTTCTCATTCATCGTGGTGATTTCATCAGGCTAATAAAACTTGTGAAGAACTGGAACATATGGCTGCCTCTTCTTGGAATCCCTCCCTTAATCTTAATTCAGAGCATCTCATTGTTACTGCATGAATGATTCTCTAGGCAGAATCATGTGGAAGTGAAGTAGCCCAGTAGGCCAGGGGCATCTGCTTTCCTGTTTACTGTGCAGCTACAAGTTTAACGATGGCGAAGTTTAAAGTTGTGGACTGGGTGCTAAACACTCATCTACAGCAGAATAAACGGAGTCCTCCTTGTGTAGTAGCTGCATAGGGAATTTTCTTGCCAAAACCTTTTGAAAGAGAGCATTTCAACCTGTGATCATCAAGGACATATTCATTTCATGCAGTTCTGGAGTTGAAAGGGGCTATCAAGTCCAGTCTGTTCTCGGGATGAAATCCAAATTAAAGCATTAACTTAATTATCCAGCCTGTGCTGGAAGACAATAATAGAAGGGAGTCTACTGCCTCTCTGAGGAATTAAGTTGCTTTGTTTTTACTTCTGATTTTTTCCCCCTAATGTTCAGTTGGAAACTGCCTTCAACTTAACTCCACTTGTGTTCTGCACCCTGGAGAGGACATCCTGCCCTTACTTTATGCAACCTTCGTTCAGATATTTGAAGAGGATACTGCTCTCATATTCCCCTCAGCCATCTTTGCTCAAAGCTAAACAACCCAGCTTCCCTCAATTGCTCCCTTTCTATGACTTCACTCCTAATCCTATCATTATTTCTCTTCCCTGAGCCTGTTCCAATGTCTAAGAATCTTTCATCAACTACTATGCCCAGAACCGGACATATAACTCAACATGTGGTCTGACTAAAACAGAATACAGATAGTCCTCGACTTACAACCACAGCTAGGATCAGGAAATTCGTCATTAAGTGAGGCGGTTATTCGGTGAGGCAATATTTGAATGCACCAGATTTCACAACCTTTTTGGCCACAGTTGTTAAGTGAGACGTCACGTGACCATGTCTTGCGATCTTCCTGTAGGCTTCTCCACGGACTTTGCCTGTTGAAAGCCAGCTGAGAAGATCGCAAAGGGGGATGACACAACTGCAGGACACACTGCCGTTGTCGTAAGTGCGAGCAGTTTGCCGCGTGCCACGATCACCCTCAAATGACCTCAGGGGCGTTACAATGGCTCCTAAGAGCAAGGGCCAGTCGTAAATTACGCTTTTCAGTGTCATTGGAATGTGGAGCCGTTGCTAAAAGAATGGTCACTAAACAAAAGATCGTAAGTCAAGAATGACCTATAAACAGTTAACGGTTATTTTGCATGATTCGGACCTGTAATCTGAAATTGCTTTAGGCAACCACATCACACTGTTGGCTCAGATCATCACATCAAAATGCTATTTCCAAGATTCCCCCGCCCCCCACACAAGTATCATTATTAAACGTGGTATCTCCCATTCTATATCAATGGGTTCTTGTTTCTTAGGGACTCTGCCGATGTCTATGTTAAATTTATTTCTGTTATTTTCAGACCATTCCTCTATCAGGATCGGATTACTAATCACTCTGGTCAATGTTGCAGATTTGACCATGGTTCACTATTCATACTCGTCCGGGGATGTGCCTCCACGTGCATTTGCATGCGTGTGTGTGCACACGTATGCACAAAACACCCCCCGTTTTAAATGCTCCTCTGGGTCCCGTCAGCTAAACAATGCCGGCTGGCGGGCCCGCGGGGGAGGGCCTTCTCTGTGGCTGCCCCAGCTCTCTGGAACCAGTTACCTCCTGAGGTCCGGACCATCCCCACCCTATTGGCCTTCCGAAAAGCGGTGAAGACCTGGCTTTTCCGGCATGCCTGGGGCCGTTGATCTTGCTTTGCGATCTGGTGAGATCCGGCCATGAATGGTGTGAATGCGTTCTAAGGTTTTTAATGTTTTTTAATGTTTTAAATGTTTTTAGAATTTTTTTTAAAAAAATGTATTGTGAGCCGCCCTGAGTCTCCGGAGAGGGGCGGCATATAAATTTAATAAATAATAATAATAGTATATCCAGCTGCTCAGCGTGCAAAAGGTACCAAGGTTTTCCCACTCTCAGAGGACGAGGCAAAAATGATCTTGGTCTGATCCGGTTCTGGTCCGATTCAATCCAACTTGAATTTTATGTTTTCCGGTTAAAGTTTTGTGAAACACTGTATCAAACTCTTTTTTTTTTTTTTTGGTACTAAAATACAGATATATATTACAGCTACTGTATTTCCTTTCTCCACCCATCTACCCATTTCCATTAACAGCAATACCATTTCTCCGGCAAATGCGGTAGAACATGAATTCGTGTGCACCCTGTCTTTGCCCCTTCTCCCTCCATCCACCCCCCAATCCTCCTGCTCCACCAGTGCAGGGTAATCTTTTTCTGATGGTTCACACAATGCTAAATAGCCTTGCAGCTTGTGGACTAAAGCTGCCTCCTTGTTCCCAACCGCTAAAACCCTTTACTAAGGTATTTATATTTCTTTTCCTAGAATAAATAATAAGAAAGTGGGAGCTGAGATCTGTGAATAGAACAGAATATGCGTGTCTGGGCCCGCAAGGGAGAAAAGCCTTTAATCTGGTTTATTTAAATGTTTGTTTGTTTTTTTCCTTTTCCTCTTGGCAATGATTCTCTTGTGTCAAGGAGAACTGAGGCCAGTGCAGCTAAATAATTTGAGGTCATGGATTTGATGTTTTTGTGGCAACGGCTGGGTCGAATGGCAATGTGTACTACATTACACTTAGAGATATGGTAAACTGGCACAACTCTGTGTGTGTGTGTGTATGTATGTGTGTGTGTAAGTCCACCAATTAATCCAGCTTGAATGTTGCTATGGGCTTCGACTCTTAAAGATATGACTTCATTGCATTTCCCGGCCTTTGACCAGTAAACTTTGAATGAATGACTTTTGAATCAGCTTCCCACGTTTTGGCTTTCCTTGCTTGTCTTTCCTCTCATCTCGGAATTTGGCTGGGGATTTGGAGAGGAAGGTAAACTCCATAAAAATACTTTTTTTTTTCCTTTCCTTTTCAGGAGCTCAAATTCCCTTGGAACATTCGAGTTAACATCATAATACTTGATGGTAGGTTATCAAGTAGCGGCACTCCCATTAACGGGGCAGCTTCTCGGTAACCTCACCGTGTTATGCTTTGGCAGAAACAATAATATGACCATGCTACAATCGTGGCTGTAGATCTCCTCCATTGGTTATGGTTTTTTCACATTTTATCTTTTTACCCGCAGGGTAAAGCTAGGCATGCTGTTAATTGCTGTTCTTAACCATTAAAAGCAATGTTTTGTGTGAATCCTGTCACAAACATAATGCTGGGCAGAGAGGCAGGGAGATAACTTTTTATCCAGTGTCTTTTCCCTGATGAAAACCATTTTCCTGAAGTTATTTACCTCATGAAAGGGAACTTTTCTTTCTGGAAGGAAAAAAGTAGCAGCTTGGGAGAGAACTCATCAAGATCAACCCCCTTTAGGTGCCACCATTTTGATTCAAATATCCATCTAATCATGCTATTAATAGTGGGACGGGTGAGCGGAGATCTGCTGTGGCTTCTTTTTGTGTCTTCAAAATCTGTAACGATACACACACACACACACGTTCCGCACACTGCCCCCCCCCCCATCTCATGGGTTCCTTTGGTATTTGACTCTAGTACAACCAAGTTCTAAGCAAGCTTCTCACCTGGGACCATCATACCACTGGCTCAGGGTCAGTTTGGCCAGTAACAGGACTGGGCATCCCACCAAAACAGCAGAGAGCGAATGCTCAGCTATATGACTGACACTTTGATAGTCATTGGGGATGCTATTGGGGTATTGTGCCCCAGACACCATAAATTCTTAGCTCATCTCTACATTCCCATCTGCTTTTGTTGTTGTTGTTGTTTTGTGATCCACACTTCTTTTCTTCTCCCTCTCTCCTCTCTGCCTTCTGGACAACCATTTGACTAGGATGGTATAAAGTCTCCTGCCTTGAACAGAGGGTTGGACTAGAAGACCTCGGAGATCCCTTCCAGCCCCGTGATTCTAAGTACCTGCTTTTTGGCACTCTTTAGGCCCTTGGTGGTCTTGGCTGTGGAAAAAAAAAAAAGCTGTTTTTGGAACCATTTTCAAGATTACTATTGCTTGTTTCATGGTCATAGTATCTTTAGAGTATCAATACGCTATATGCTGACGGGAAGCGTGAGGAAAGGGGTTTCCTAGGCAAAAATTGCATGTGTCTCTATGTCTCCAACTTGGATCATATTCCTAGCCTGGAAATCTCTCTGATAAGTGGCTTGAGACCTAATTCGTATGGGAAACAAATTAGGCCCACTAATCTGGGACAAAATGGCTACTTCTGAGGAAGCCTCTCAGAATTCAGCCCAAATCGTGAGGGATTAGCTGCTACCCTGATGCCTGGAGAGAGGCACAACTGTCGAAACATTTAGGACAGTATACTTCTGTCTTAGTTCTTCAATGATACTGTTGGGACTGTGAAAGGGTGGCGGCGGCTGGATTTTTGGGGTAGGGGAATCAGTTTCTTAGCTCGCTTTTGTCTCTCTGAATGCTCAGCCCACCCAAGAGGCATAGCTGGCATCACAGCATGGCCCATTTCCTCCCTTCACTCACGATTGCCCAGCCCCCCCCATGTTGCTTTTACTCAAGAAGGATGAAGCACCACGGGTTTGAGAGAAGCAGCATTTGGCACGAGCCTCACACCTGAGCTGCCATCATAGCCAGCCAGATGCCAACAGGTGACATCCCTCACCTTAGCCCAATCTTTGGCTCCTTTCTTATGCCCGGCATGGGGATGGAGGGGAGGTTCTAGCCAAGAATTACATTCAAGGACTCATCTTGCAGGCTGAGATTGGAGAGAGCCCCATAGTAGTGAGCAGAGAAATACCAGCAGGTTGGACCTCTCCCTATTCCTCCCCACCCCCCGTCTTGTAGACATAAAGGTGCGGCTGCATTACCTGGGCAGAATGGATTGGAAAACTCAAAGTTCTGGTGGCTGGAATCCCCTCGAGAGAAGGGGATCTGGGCTCACCTTACCCTGTTCAGAGACAATTTCATTTTACACCTAAAAGTATCAAACGGGCCAGCCTTGAGCACGGCATGGTACTGAACGGCTGCAGGGATGAGCAAAGGGGCCAGAAAGTTAAAAACGGGAACCGATGCGGCAAAGAAGTGCCCTGGTAGTTTGTGACAACAGCAGCAGCAGCAGCAACAGCAGCAGCATCGTCTTGGCACCAGCTCTTGCATCATGAGAAGGAGGGCGGCCTCGAGGACCCCGCTGGATGCTTCTCCCAGAAAGGAGGAAATCTTGAAAAGGAAGTATTAAAAATCCCGGTGGTGTCATTCCTTTTTTTTGAGCATAACAGTTGGAATGTGTACGTTTCCCTCCCCTCGGAAGCAGGAAAGGCAAGTTGGGGAAGCCAATCAGCAGAAGGGAATACGAGTCAAAGCTGGCGGTTCATGAGGGATGACCATATGTCTCTGGAAACGGCACGCAGGTGAGGTCGGCGAATTCGGAGACCGTGGAGTGGGACGGGGTTTCCCCCCTGGTTGGCAGCCGCAAAAGAAAGGCCATGAGGGAGATGAGGTGGGAAGGATGAGAGTCCAGTCCAGGTACCAGTGAAAAGGGGCTTCCTGCCTCTTCTACATTATATCCTCTGTGAAGAAGAAAACATTCATCAGTAAAAATAAATAAAAAAAAAAACCAATGCTTTCTGCAAAACAGCACAGTTGTACAGGGTTCAGTGTATATAAACTGCACAGGGGTGAGGAAAAGCAGGGACCGCAAGAACTCTACAACAGGGGTGTCAAACTCAAGGCCTGCGAGCCAAAACTGGCCCGTGGAGTGCTCAGAACTGGCCCTGGAAACAGCAAAGGGACCAGCCCACGGTGCCTCTGCCAACGAAAATGGGAGCCCGGGAGTGCCGCTGGCAGAGGGCTAGCCAAAACAAACTAAAAACGAAACAAAAGGAGAAATGTTTCCCCTTTTGCATTTGAGTATGCAAGATAGGACAGGAAAGGAGAGAAGGAAAGAGGAGAGACAAAGAAGGGAAGATGGGAAGAGAGCAAGGAAGGAAAAAGAAGGAAAGAGGGGAAGGAAGAAGAAAGGAGCATGAAGAGGGAAGGAAAAAAGAAGGAAGGAAGGAAGGAAGGAAGGAAGGAAGGAAGGAAGGAAGGAAGGAAGGAAGGAAGGAAGGAAGGAAGGAAGGAAGGAGATTATGAGAGTGAGGGAGGGTCTGAGGGAAGTCCTGCCTTACGACTTGGCCACCACAGGTGCCCCACACGAGTGATGTCAAGCTGGCCATGCCCCCCTGGCCCCCCCAAGGTCAAACACAATCCTGATGTGGCCCTCAATGAAATCGAGTTTGACACCCCTGCTCTACAACAACCTAACCCTAATTGATTCAGGAAATGCTGGTTTCCATACATGGTAGTACCGTAGTGTGTAAATTTTAAAAAATTATGCAACGTTTGTGAGGTTTTCCTTCCGGCCATTATACAAAGGGGAGAGCAAGCTGGAACCATAGTCCTCTCTTGCTTTGAGGTTTTGTTTTCATTGGGCCTGTCAAGTTTTATTATTTGGGGACCTGGGGTTGTTACTCTTTGTGACCCAGCTGAACTTTGGAGAGTAAATTGTGTGGTTTCTCTGCCCACCAGCAGACTAACCCTCTCAAAACAAACATGGTATGAGAGAAGACGCAAGACAAGTTAAAAAATGGGTTGGATGCTGAGAGGGTTTGAAAAAAAAAATCCAGGAAAAAAACCCCCTCAATGTATGTATTCCCATGGGAGAGGAATTGGGCTGTGGCTTGGGACTGTTACCGATGTCTCCGTTGTAAGCTCTCTTCCTTCCTGGTCACATGACCCAGAGCAGAGAGTATGCAGCCACTCTATGCTTCTCGTTGTACATATACATGCATGGTTGCAACATGAGGGGAAAACAGAAATACAGGAGCAACCCATAAGTATCACTCCTGAATCATGCACACACATGCAACATATATGGACATTCCCTGATTGGACATTGGGATGAATCTCTCTCTCTCTGTCTCTCTCTCTCTCACACACACACATGCAATTTATTGCTTCATTACACCGAAGAAAATACAGACTCCTCCTACGGCCACTGCTGCCAAAGGAATTGGTAAGACTTCCAGAACCTATCGTATGCATGAGTTCATTCTTTCTCTTCTTTTGGATGAAGCTGAAATTAATGATGTTATTCTGTGCCTGCAATCAGATTCATTGACTATGCATGGCCTTGGAGACTGAAGCTCCAATCACAAGGAAAGGGGAAACTGCCTCTCAGGCCTCGAAAACGGGTCTCTTCCTGCAATCTTAACTGCAGGTTGATGTCGCATTCTCACCCATTCAAACCAGGAAGCTCTCTTCTTCTGGAATCCTTTATTATAATCTCTCTGAGAAGCTCCCACTCAGATGAAGGAAGAATAGAGGTAGTCTTCGACCTACGACTACAACTGACCCCCACATTTCTGTTGCTAAGCGAGAAGTTTGCTAAGTGAATTTTGCCCCATTTTACGACCTTCCTAGCCACCGTTGTTAGGCAAATCACTGCAGTTATTAAGTTAGTAAAATGGTTGTTAGATGAATCAGATGACCCCGGGACACTGCAATCATCATCAATATGAGTCAGTCGCCAAGCGTCTGAATTTTGATCCCATGACCATGGGGATGCTGTGAGGGTCATAAGTGTGAAAAGTGGTCATAAGTCACCTTTTTAGTGATGTGACTTTGGATGGTCGCTAAATGAACTGTTGTAAGTCGAGGACTACCTGTACTCCATCGTGCAGAAAATCGGGAAAGGACTGCCTGTGTTCTGCTTAATTATTTATAATTATACATATAACATACAGGATGATCTTTGCAACACGTTACAGAATCCGTGAATATCGTAAGAGCCATGGTGCGCAGTGGTTAGAATGCAGTACTGCAGGCTACTTCTGACTGCCGGCTGCCTGCAATTTGGCAGATCGAATCTCACCAGGCTCAAGGTTTACTCAGCCTTCCATCCTCCCGAGATGGGTAAAATGAGGACCCAGATTGTTGGGGGCAATAGGCTCACTCTGTAAACTGCTTAGAGAGGGCTGTAAAAGCACTGTGAAGCCGTATATAAGTCTAAGTGCTATTGCTATAGGACATTATATGCCAAAACAACTAGACCCTGGGACAGTTTTTTTCCCTTGTGCCATCAATCTGCTGAACACCTAATTCTCACAGTGCTGCCTAAAGTCTATGTGTACTTACCCATGTGGTGTAGTTGTAATATCATTATGTAGCCTTCTTATTATTTTCTATACGCCCCCTTTTATTGGTATCATGAACATTATTATTCTGTTGCTTTGCATGTATACTGAGAGTTCCTGTACTGGAGACACTTGGCCAAATAAAGTATTCACTTCAATTCCCTTTCCATAGTCTATTGCTATTGCTATTGTGGGTTGGGTTGGCTGGAGGCACTTTAAATCTTGAGGACTGGGCTGGAGAACATGGATTTTTATTCCCTGGGTACACCATCGGGATCAGAAAGCTATTACAAAGCCCTAAAGGTCCTCCTTAAGAAATCTAAAAAATGACTGTACCATCCTCTCTTTTTCCCCCCCAAGCATAACAACAGAATATTGGAGTAGTTTGGCAAGCAAATGTCCCTTAGCACTCTAGGTGAGTCTGTTTGTTTCTTGGCTGGTTTTCTCCTGGCTTCCCAGGAGCCAAGCGAGGGAAAGTGGCAGAGCAGATTTGACACAGAAGAGAAGTCATGTTCTATGAGTCTAAGATTCTTAGCCAAAGGCAGACAAAGGAACACAGACTCAAGGCTCTTGAGGATGATATAAATGAAATATTCAGGACTGTTATTGTGAGGTTGTGAGTGCAGGTATGGGAGTCCTCGACTTACAACCACAACTGAGCCCAAAGATTATGTTAAGTATTAAGCGAGACATTTCTTAAGTGAGTTTTGCCCCATTTTATGGCCTTTCTTGCCTCAGTTGTTAAGTGACTCATTGCCGTTGATAAGTTAGCAACCCGGGTGTTCAGTGAATCTGCCTTCCGCATTGCCGCTGCTAGTCAGAAGGTCGCAAAAGGGGATCTTCATGACCTTTTGGACACAGCAAAGGTCATAACATTCAAGAACAATGGTTCCTGCAACTGTTCTTCATATGTTTTAACCTCCAGTCCCCTAATCATCTTTGTTACTCTTCTCTGCACTCTTGCACAATTGGTTGACGAGAGATGAATGTTCCTATATATATAACAAAACATTTCCCCCAGAAAGAGGACTGAGGTAGACAAGAGCGCTTGATAACATAAATGTGGGGGTCTACATTTCCTCTCTGCACCCCAATCCTCTTCCTCCCCAAAAGGATTTGATCAACAACAACACAACATCCTCCTAACACAATTACACACTGGTGAACTAGGACAAGACAGAACTAGAATAGGCCTCTAGGAACACAGGACGTCAGTGAGGCCACACCAACACAGAGAACTTACCGCAGTGCCAACAAAATCTGTTGAAAATATTAAAAAAAAAAAGAAAGTTAGGATTATGGTCCGTGTTGCCCAATTTTCCTACCACTGTCTTGGGCCTAGCGATGGGTCTTGGGTTTGCTATTAGAGTAGCAGTTAAAGTATAAAGAAGAAAAGAGAAACACGTAGAAAAAATGAGATATACAAAAATTGTCACCATGTCAGTTAATAATTAGTTGGGTAACCTTTAGCATGAATTACGGCCTTACAAAGTCTTCCCATGGAGCGAACCAAGTCTTTTAGTTCTGCAGCTGTTATAATGTGAAACCAAGATTGAAGGATTGCTTCTATTAACTGAGTTTTATTGCTGGGTCACTTCTGACTAACTCTTTAGTCAGCTGCAGTGGTGGGTTCCTCCCGGTTCAGTCCGGTTCGGCTGAGCTGGTAGCAGTGATGATATGACATCACAGAACCAGTTCTCCCCCACCCCCGCCCTCCCACCCCCCCACCCACGTTATTCTTACCTTTTATTTGGTCCCACCCCCAATCTATTGCTGCCTCCTGAGTCCCAGCTGATGACTAGAGGAAAAAAAACTTTAAACTCTTGCCTCAGGGCTTCAAAGGGCTGCCCTACAGCTGATCAGTGTTAAAAACAAACAAATGAGTCGGGTCGTAAGTGCGAGGACTGGTCGTAAGTGTGAGGACCTTCCAGAAATGACTCTGACCAGCTAGCCACGCCCACCTAGTCACATGACCTCCAAGCCACATGCACAAAATAAGCCACGCCCACAGAACCGGTAGTAAAAAAATTTAGAACCCACCCCTGGTCAGCTCCATTGATTTTCAATTGGGTTAAGGTCCGGGCTATTCCCAGGCCATTCCACCAGTGGAATATGATTATCTTGAAACCCACCCACCCCCCAAAAAGTGGTGTTATTAGCCATCAAACCTCAAAAATGCACTTTCCCCAAAAGGTTTCCACAATTATGGCCACTACTGTACATCCCGACTAGACTGTGTTGTTTCCCTGTGTCATATAATATATGTGGGTACGTGGGTATAGACATAATTTTGTATTTATTTATTTAGTCATTTATTTAGTCAGGTTTATGTAGTGTATATTGGAGGTGGTGACCTTTGGAGAGCTGTATGCAACGGATTTTCATTTTAACACATGCCAATTAGTGTACATTTAAAGTGACAATAAAGTTAGTCTAAGTCTATATAAGCCTCTGTGCTACTGCTATTGCTAATGATTCAGAAGCAAGGGCTGTGGTTTTAATGGGATGCATGCGCTTTCTCACAAATGCCTTTGAAGACCAAAGTGTCTCATTTAGTTTAGTGTTCTCTTAATGCGCTATTAGATGAGGACTGTTTTTCATCTACAATTTGAGCAGGGGCCCTGAATTATCCTTAAAGTCCTTAAAAAATGAGGCAGGGTTTCAGCAGCAGCTCGCCATTCTTTCATGACTCCTTTTGCCGTTTTGTTCTTCTAAAACTGATGCTTTTTTTTTTGTTGTTGTTAAAGGAGCCCATAAAGCTCTCTCTCTCTCTCTCTCCACCGTTGCTGCCTAAAATCGAATACAGATGGACTAGACAGAATTGCCAGCTCTTCAGTGGGCTGTTTTAGGTGTGAATTTAACAGTAATTGAATCTGCAGTAGTGAAAGTTTTGCAAAGCATAGGAATAAATCACGGCTGCCAACTAACTGCAGAAGGCAATGGTTGAAAACCTGCCAGTCGACATCAGGCTATTTTATTTGGGGTGGGGGGTGGGGAGTGGCATTTGTGGAAGTTTCTAAAAAAAGATCAGCAGCATGGCTTGCCTTAGACATGAGTTTATCCTTTGGATGGGGACTTACAAGCACCTTGCTGTTTATGGGCTCTCAGGCACCAACCGTCTGCGTCTCCATCCCTAACCTTTGAACAGAGGGAGCACAAATAGCTCCACCCTGAAGAGGTGACAGTATTTGGAGCTTGAATTAAAAATGGGTGGGGTGATATAGTATATAAAATCACAGAATAGGATAGGATGGGATGGGATGGGATGGGATGGGATGGAATTGGAATGGATAGGATAGGATAGGATAGGATAGGAAAGGATAGGATAGGATAGGAAAGGATAGGATAGGATAGGATAGGATAGGATAGGATGGCCTTGGTGGCGCAACAGACTAAAGTGCTGTTAAGTAGCACCAGCTGTCTGCAATTACTGAGAGTTCAAATCTCACCAGGCTCAAGGTTGACTCAGCCTTCCATCCTTCCGAGGTAAGTAAAATGAGGACCTGGATTGTGGGTACAATAAGCTGACTTTGTATAAAAAAGAACACTGCTTGGGGGTGTGTGTGTGCAAAGCCCTACTAAGCAGGTATATACAAAAGTATGAAGGCTATTGCATAATGCATTGTAAGCCGTCCTGAGTCTCCGGAGAAGGGCAGCATATAAATTGAACCAATAAATAAATAATAATAAATAGGATAGGATAGGATAGGATAGGATAGGATAGGATAGGATAGGATAGGATAGGATAGGATAAGCTGGAAGGGACTTTGGAGGTCCTCTAGTCCAGCCCCCTGCTCAGGCAGGAGAACCTATACTATTTCAGATAAGTGACTGTGTAGACCACGGGTGTCAAACTCGATCACGTCACATGACTGTGACATATCACGACATTTTTTGCCTTTGTGGAGCCGGGGTGGGTGTGGCCTGTGCATGACACATGTGGCCTGCAGGCCACCAGGCCTAGTCTAGACTCTACTTAAAAAACATCCAGTGATGGAGCGTCCATGATTTCTGGAGGCAAGTTGTTCCACCGGTTAATTGTCCTCACCATTAGGAAGTTTCTCCTTAAACGTATTGGATAATCAGGGAAGTTTTTCTTCCCTCTGATAAAATATAAGAATCCGGGGTTCTTAAATAGAGGATTTACCTGTATTTAAAGAAGCTGTTCTTAAATAACAGCTGTTGGCAAGCGTCAAGTAGGAATTGGCTTGTTGCCCCAATCATATCACGATTATGAGTTTACAAAGTGGAATGTACGGTTAGTACATCTGGTTAGCAGTGGCGTAACAATGAATACTGGTATAGACAGACCTTTGACCTGTAATGGCCCAGATAGACTGCATAGAGAATTTTCTCTGGCTGTCTTTCCACATATGAATGGAAAGGGGATTTGTTTGTGTTTTGTTTTGTTTTTTAATTTCTTCCCATCGTTATTCCTTGCTGTTTCAGCATTTGGTTCTTGCTGGCAAGTCTGCCTTTCCTTAATATAAACAGATGGAGCGAACCCAGAGTCCAGGAGATTTATTCTGATTAATTAAATTTCCAATTAGGCACCTTTGATTCTCTGGCTTTCATCTAAGACTTGGCAGGAGCCAGGGAAGAAAGGCAGGGAGTGTTTACATTTCCTCTCGGGCGGGGAGGTGTGGGGGTGAGAGAGAGAATAGGACTCACCTAATGTCACCCAGGCAGCTTCAAATGCTTAATGAGCATTTGAATCTGGACTTGTCTATTCATTATCTAACACTTTTATCTGCTCCTCCAAGTGAGATGCAACTTCGAGCACCGCAAGAAAAGAAAAGATGTTTCTACTATCCATTCTTTTCATCAAAACCATCAAAATCATAAGTGCATTTTTTTTTCTTTTCATGAAAGAAGTCTAGAAAGTGTTTCCATCCAATAAATGTAGATACAATATTGTGGGTTTTTTTTTTCCCCAAGCAAAGAAGTCAATTTACCCATCTCTGTCAGCTCCATCTACTTCCCCAACTATTCCTCTATTGTGGGTAGTGTCAAACTTTTCCTCTTTTGAGAATATAGTAATCCCGCTGCAATTGTCATATATATAAGAACAAATCTATTCATTTGTCCCAAAAGTTGTACATTAGTTTTTAAAATAATCTGATTTGGCTTTTTCACATGTCCTCTGTAAAATGTCCTTTCATGTTGTTCATATTTCCAGCAAAGATTTGAAATATCTTTATAGATTCCAGACAATTTCTCTGGTGAGAAATACCAATGGTACCTTCCCTTTTAAGGCTAGAACAAAATGTAAAATGTAATCCTTTCAATCCTGTGATCTTTTTGTAATCATAGTGTAAAGCAGGGGTGAAATGCTACCGGTACTGCTAAACCGGAAGCGATGGTGGCGGGTGGTTCGGAGAACCGGTAGCGATGGCAGCGCGAGGCTCCGCCCACCCGCATGGTTGTCGTTACTTCCTGGTTTTAACCAGGAAGTAACCTGTTTTTTACCCTCTGCGCATGCACAGAAGGGTTTGTGCATGTGCAGATGTGTATGTGACGTAGCGCATGCACTTCCGAACCGGTAGGGAAGGTAAGTAGATTTTCACCCCTGGTGTAAGGGATAATTTTGAAACTATCCTAATTCAAAGGAAATCAGAAGCTTCTCCTTTCTATTTTTTAAAATCATTTTTTCCTGTACTTTGCCTTCCCTTTCTTTGTCTTATTTATTTCAGTATTAATTTGTGATGGGTTTTTTTTTTGTTCTCTCTAAAATGTATTGGTTAGATTTGGATGCTGCCCATAAACTAGAGGCCACTAGTTTAATGTTTATTAAAATTTATACTAAAAAAAAGAAAGAAAAGATGCACAGGAAATGTGGTTTTATCTTACCAGAGAATCCTATAAGATAAAAATCCTTTTAGATAAAATCCTATAAGATAAATCCTTTTAGATATCCTATAATATAACATCCTAAAATCCTTTTAGATATCCTATAGGATAAAATCTGTTTTTGTGATAGCAGGGACGGTGGGGCAGAAGTTGATGGGTTTGCCAATACAACTTGGTTGTCAAAATAATTCATTTGGAGTGGGGGGCAGAGAAAGTTTGTGCAATGAACTGGATAGGGTTGTGATACTTAAAATATTGGATTAAAGCCCTAAATGGTTGGGAATCTGATTATCTGCTGAACAGCCTCTCCTCGTATGAAGATGCACAGTGATTCAGTACAGCAAGGGGAACTCTTCCGTAGATGCTGATGTTGGCAGAAGGTTGACTCTGCAGAATGGCCTTCTCTTATCTGGCTTCCAAGCCATAGAAGAGTTGTTTGGCTCCCAGTATTTAGGAGGTCAGCTTTGCCATGAAATTAATGGCTTACTAAGATGCGCTGTGGCTCAGTGACTTAATGATGCTAGTCTCGGCTCCGGTGGTTTGAGCCCAAGCACTGTGTAGCGTAACAGGGTGAGCTCCTGTTACTCACCTCAGCTTCTGTCTATCCTAAGAGTTTAAAAGCATGTTCTGTGCAAGTGGATAGATAGATACCACTTTGGCAAAGAGACGAGTTGATACTCTGTGCGGGCAGTCAGATTCCTGATCACTTTGGACCTTCCTGGTGGCCATGCCCACTTGCAAGGCAGCTCCGGGAAGGGATGGGGGGGTCTTGGGTGACACTGCGGGAAGAGCTGCTCATCTTTCTCTCTGGTGCGAAGGCAGATTGCCCTCCTGTGGCACACCTTAGGAAGCACGCAAGCATGTCCTCTAACAGGGCTGGTACCTTGGCAAGCCAAACTACTACTCTGCAATAGCATTGTAGTCTTCTGGCTAGCATAACAATGCCATACACTAACAACAACAACAACAACAATGATAGCTCAATCTTTTGTGGCTGATTTTACTTGAATGTGTATTTCAATTATATTCATAGTGGGTTTTTTTTTTTAAACTTTAGATTTGTTATTGTCATAAGCCGCTTAGTGATATGAAACAAACAGAAAGGTGGAGCATAAATGCAGTAATAAAGGAAAGTGATATAACCTCCCAATAGTTCCCCCTTTTTTTTTTGCAAACTGAAGATTGGGTGGGCAAAAATGTCATCCAAACTTCAGGAATGAAGGAATCAATGGAGAGGGCCCCTTGGATCCTGAATCGATGTCATCCTCTATTCATGCCTGCTAAAGCCTTATGTTTTTCCCAAAGTAAAATTTGAATATACAGGTAGTCCTCAACTTAGGACTTATTTTCCGGTTGGGTCTTATTTTCGGGGAAACAGTATATTTGAGATAATGAATGCTGGACCAGGGCCTCAACCGCATGCAGAATGGACAAGGGGGAGCTTTGTCTCTGTAGTGTTTCTGTATGCAAAGCCGAGAGCACTCACCTTTGTTCTCTGTTTTGAGCTCTTCGTGAAGCAGGTCGTTCTGCCGGTTGCCGAGGACGAAGGCCAGGAAGGAGAGGATAAGGGCATTCAAGATGCCAATGATGGCTAAGATATAAGCCCAGCGCACGGAGCAGTCGCCCAATGAGTACTTCCCTGTCTTCTCCCCGCACATGTCCCTGATGGTCTCTGAGTCCCAGCCATCTGGGAATATCATGCAGCCCAGCACCAGGCAGAGAGCTGGACAAAGAAAAGAGGAAGGAAGGAAGGCAGATTGTTAACCAGGCAGTGCTCACATCAGCTGATTGCAGATGGAAGGGAGTCTCGCACGGCATCCCTGTTAGGAAATGACTATTACCTAACTTGTTGGGTTGGCAATATATAAACCATCAATGTAGCTTTAAGACTGCTGTATTGCATCATACTGTGTCCTGATTGGTTAGCTCTGTAGCCAATCTCCTTAAGAGGGAGCTAGAAACATGGTTTGTTCTCTTTGCTGCTCTTGCTCTCTGATATCTCTGCATGCTACTGTTTGCAAATCCAGAAGAACTGTTTATTGTAAATGACTATGATGACTGGTAAGAAGACTTTGTTATTGGATTATCCCTGGACTATCGTTTTGACTATCTCCTGCTTTATATGTGTATGACCTGGACTGTTTATTGGACTATGCCTTACTATTTCCTGAAAGTAAACACAACTCAGTGTATCTGTGTGGTGACTGTGTTTATTTGTAACTACTCTCAATCGCTTTCATGTGCACACCCTTGCTACTCTGCGAATTCCTTAACAATCCCTAAAAATAAAAACCAAAGTCTGTACTTAAAATAGTTCTAACCTTTCTCCCTCCAGCCCTGAAGACATTAACTAGTGAGGTAATAAAATGACTGCAAGCAAACAACCAATCTCGGAGAGCAGCAACAGAAAACAGATACGAATTGCAGGACTCCACAGTTCAACCTGAGCTACAAATATTCTCTTCTATTGAGAGAAATTTTTATTCCCCAAGGATTCCATTGTGAACATTCAATGCATTTTCCATGCAAATGTGACATGTATTCAATTCATGGTGGTGGTGATGGATATTGCACAATTGTCAAGACTGACTTGAACTTTCACCTATATTCCGCTTTGCTTACAGCTTGACAAAGAATGGGGGGTGGAGGTGGATTGGAGTGCAAGGATTGGGGGAATGGCCTCCAAGCATCATTGGTTCCCGTGAGACAATGTTCCCTCCCTCAAGGACACCCAGAGCAGATGCCACAGCATGATTGACTGGTTCCCAAAATAAAATGGACAGAAGTGATTGGTGGATGTAATGGACTGTGAGTGGCCCGTGGGGAAAGGGGAAATGAACTATGTGTGTGTTTGTGCGGGAAACCCAGAGCTGGTTTCACATCTTCTGTGCCAATGTGGATTTATTCAGTAAAGTTTATATTCTTGGTAAAATAACGTCCCAGGAGGTTTCTTTTTCTGGATTTGCCAACTGGACACCTGACAATGATATTCATTTCCCCTTCATCCCAACCTAGTCTCCCTCGACCTGTTGGCTTTCAAGATGCTGGACCATAAGAGATATCGCTCTCAGCCAGCATAACCAACTGGCACGAAGTCTGGAGACTTGCAGTGTGCCTCATCTGAAGGCCACTGAGTTACCTCAAGCATCACTCCCATGTTTCAAAGTTTGCCTTTAAAGTAATGAAATTTAAATTCCTTGAAAAGTAATCATAATAGTTAATTGGCATTGACAAAAGTACCACCAGCCAATCGTACATCTTAAAGTTACCAAGGCTGAGAAACACTGTTTTACTTCATTGAAGCTGAGGTGCCCTTACCCATTTTCCCACATAACTGGCAATTACTCATGTGCCCTTACACACCACAACCACCTAGTGAAGCCTGGCCATAAGACTGGCCTCCTGTCCTGCCCCAGGGAAGGGAGAAGAGATGGTTGGTACCATATTTTTCAGAGTATAAGATGCACCGAAATATAAGACGCACTTTAGTTTTTGGGGAGGAAAATAAGAAAAAAGCTGATTGGCAGATGGATCAGCCTCCCGGAATACCCCCAATCAGCTGTTCCCAGAGGTGAATTTTAGCAACAGGTTCCTTGGTTGTGAGCTCTGTGCGTTACTTTTTTTTTGCTTTGTTTTCTGCCTTTGAAACTTCTGAAACTCCGTTTCAGAAAAAACCTTTTTTTCTGCCTCTGAAAGCCTGCGAAACAGAGCTTCAGAAAAAAAGCCTCTGAAGCTCTGTTTGGAGGCTTCTTTTTGATGCTTTTTTCAGCCTCTGAAACCTCCATTTGAGAAGCTGGGCGGGGCTACATTCGGAGTATAAAACGCACCCAGATTTTCACCTTCTTTTTTGGGGGAAAAAGATGTGTCTTATACTGCGAAAAATACGGTAATTCATTTGGAGAGCCATTGATTGAAGCTCCTTGCTCAGGCTAGTTTGTTCTAGTGCACAGGTGTCAAACTTGCCGTGTCATGTCACACGACATATCACAATGTTTTTTGCCTTCGCGGAGCTAGGGTGGGCGTGGCCTGTACGTGACGCATCCGGCCTGTGGGCCGCCAGTTTGACACTCCTGAATCTAATGTAAAAAGGAAACACAACAGAGTCTCCCTTCCTTCCCTTCCTTCCTTCCTTCCTTCCTTCCTTCCTTCCTTCCTTCCTTCCTTCCTTCCTTCCTTCCTTCCTTCCTTCATGTTTGACAAGAACTCAGTCTCAGCATGAACTGCTTGGTCAAGAACAAAAAGGAAGCTGCTAAGATCAGGCCACCAACAAATCAATTTGACAGCTCCTGGTCAGCTTGGTCAATATTTTTTTCTGTTGTGGCCTCTGAAGCTCCGCTGCTCTTGGGGCTTTTTTTTTTTTTGCAAAAAGTTTTTTTTTATTTTTTTTCTAAACATACGAATTACATCCTTTCGGAACAGAGCTTTGATCCGGTCATATACAACTAATACCATCTTAGAAAAAAAATGAACACATATTTACTTAATCGAAACAATAACCCTTCTATTAACCCACCTTAATTCTTAATTCAATTAATAACTCATAATGCAACCATTCTTATCCTAAATCCTCACTATAAACAATACAATTCAAATGTATTTATATTTCATTATGCTCATTAAATCTTTATTCCATTATTACTTTATCAAATTTAAATCCTATCTTTTTAATTCTAGAAATATAGCAATTTAACATTTAAACATAGTTCTTAGTTCAAATAATGCTCTTTAACACAATTTCTTGCTCTTGGGGCTTTGATGGTGGAGCTACCTGGAGTCTCTCTGCAAATCCTTTGCTGTGAATTCCTGTTTTCATGGCCCTGGGAACCAGAGGGGGTATTCAGCCAGTTCAGACTGGTTCACCTGAACCGGTAGCGGAAATCGCGGGTGAGCCCACCCACCCGGGCTCTATGCCATCCTATTTAGGCACGTTTTTGCGGCCGGGTGCATGCACGGAAGGCAGGCGCATGCATGAACTGGGTGCATCCACTCACAAAGCGAGAGAGCGCACACAGGGTGAACCAGTAGAAACATAATGTGAAACCCACCACTGCTGGAAACTCAGCACCTCCAGCTGCAGCCCTTTGATGCTGACTTGGGAATTGAAAATCCCAATAATGATTTCCCTATGGATAGGGTTTGTGTGTGTGTGAAAAAGAGAGGGGGGAGGGAGGGAGGGAGGAGGAGAGGTGGGGGAGAGGGATATTTCTTATGCCAGTAGAAGAGAAATGCCACAATGAAACCCATCAATGGTGCTCCATGGGGAAAGGGGGCTGTCATAATGACCCTTGAAATTTTCGCTTTGGGGATATCAGTGGGACTATTGACCTCATGGAGGACTTGACATTCCACAAGATTGATATTCTCTTATCAACAACACACAAAGATAATAAGAAACAGGTTTTACTGATTCAGTCTCTCTGACAATCATAGCAAAATTAGCCCTGGACAGGCAGAACCCAGCGTCCAGATGAGCGCGCGAGGTCCCACAGCAGTTCTACCAGACCAAGAAACTTTTGACTCCTTCTCTCTCTTGGTTCCATCCTTCGCCATCTCCCTAGGTGAGACAGTAAATTATAATGCCTTCAGTGACAGTGACAGAGCATTTAAATGTGAAAAATGGTCATAAATCTCTTTTTTCAGTGCCGTTGTAACTTTGAACAGTCACTAAAGAAATGTGGTAAATTAAGGATTACCTGCATTACTTTACAGGTTGCATAACTAAGCACTGGAACCAAATCCTAATTCACAGCCCTAAATGCCAATCCTAGTGAACCTCAGATTAAACAAAATTCACCATTGGGCAATTTGTCTATTGCATTTTACCTGAGCTTCTCATGGTAATCATGTCTCAAATAGTTTTTAACAGTTCATTAGACTAGTAACTTCTGACTTCTCAACACAAACAAGTTCAAACCAAAGAAAATAAACTTCAGGTTCCCCCAATCTAATCCACCTATAGCCTTCCTTTTTAAATAAGTAGATAAGTAAAACCTGCCTACTTCAATATCTTGCATGAGGAAGTCCTGTCTGATGGAAAGGAACACAATCACTTAATACAAAGTGGCTTCAGTCTTTGGCTTCCTCTTCTTCACTTGTCCTTTTTATATGTTGTATTGTACAATATATATTATCCCATTTTCCTTGATCATACTGTAGCCTAATGTTCACACCAACATGACTTTAGTTAAACTACTGCTGATGACTAGATTCCTTGTGGCTCTAGCCCTAAGATTTGGAATCTATAAAAGAATTTATTTATTTTTTTATTTGATTTATATGCCGCCCTTCTCCGGAGACTCAGGGCGGCTTACAATGCGCTAAGCAATAGCCTTCATCCTTTTGTATATTTATACAAAGTCAGCTTATTGCCCCCACAACTGGGTCCTCATTTTACCTACCTTAGAAAGGATGGAAGGCTGAGTCAACCTTGAGCCTGGCGAGATTCGAACCTGCAGTAATTGCAGGCAGCTGGTCTTAATAACAGGGTGCTTTAGACCACTGTACTACCAAGGCTCCTTAGACCTATAAATGCTACATTTACAGTAGGGTAAGGTAAAATGCAGAGTACAAAACACTTAAAAGATGACCTCATATCCTGCCTCGCTGAGCCCTTCAAAATACTATATGCACAAAGGGGAAGAGATGGGTTTGCCTCTAGAATGAACAATTTTCAGGACCTTGGATAGTTCAGCCCGCAAAATTACAGGACTAGGCTCGGTTCTC